TTAATCACCATCGTTGTACAACGAAATACAGTGAAACGAAATTTTCCTTTCAACTCAAACTGAATGCATACAAGGTAGGTGAAAATTTGTAAGAACGATAGGGATTGGACCTATTTTTAAGCACGGTAGAAGAAAGCGAGCCTCTATGGTCAACATGCTAAGTACACCGTCCAACTGTGAATACACCCATTCTCAAGCATTCTGGTCTGACAAGAAGTGACAGCAAGATCGCCACTTCTGTCGGTTTTCTGCCATGACCTTTGGTGTCTCAAACCATCCGGTTACGGAGCCTTTTGTACCCGAACTCGGAAGACGAGATACCTACTCTACCAAATCGGCCTGTGCACTTCTTCACACCTCGTCTTCACGTCATCTTCCCGCCTCCACGTGGCTTTTTCCAGTCTGCAACATCTACTGCAAATAAGGTGCGCTGCGATAGGCGGCCGTTGGAAGTACGCGAACCGTGTCTTAACAAACGGAGCCCTTTGATCTGAATTCGGTGCGCATAGCGAGTTCTTCCTCGATGCATTTCCAGAGACCTGACGACCTACTTCTGGCTTACTAAACCGCTCATTCCATCCTACCTTGGACAGTCTACGTGAGCATCGGTTGTCGAAAACCACTAGGCGACGGAAGTCTTCTTCTGGAAAATTCAACCGCAACTGTAAAGCAGAACTGATCGTACAGTGGCGCAGCATACGCAGCTTTTCAAATTCAGTGAAACTTCACGTCGTTGCCACAGGTGCATTAATCCTGTGTACACTGCTCGAGCCTTGGAAATGCGGGCGGTTTTCTCGTTGGTCACGCAATGAGGTCAAAAGACAAAAGTAGTCGATGGAGAAGAACACATAAACAAGCGGGTACAAACCGAACACTGCCACTTCGCATGCGGTGACTGTCACCTCATGTGGTGATGAAACGTTTGCGAGCAAATTACAGAGTTCGACGAACGGGTGAAATATATGGACCTGCAGTTTTGTACAGAGCAGCGCAAAACAAATGTGTTCGAGTTGTGTGAGCGTGCCTGTTGAATTGGAGCATCACTTTGATATCCGTTGAAACCTCTGTTTGAAGTTGGTACTGGACAGGAATAAGTGGTGGTTTACGCAGAACTGGAGAAGTCGGTCGCCGTTATCTGTTTCTTGGCAGGTCAGAGCATAATGACCGTCGAGACATACCTCGAATGCGCCCGGTCTTCAGATCTGCAAGTACAATCATGTTTGGTATAATCGAATGAATTCTGCGAGTTTGTCGTAGAACTTAGCTTTTTGTACATCAGAACTGCAGTTGGTGTGTATACGCCGATCCGATGAACAAGCACCTTTTGGTGTTCCTTCCCTTCCGGACGCTGGTAGACCCCTGTAACCCTATCGCAGATAAACGACTATTGATGGGCATCCAATCAATTAGTGACACTGGCTCTGTTATTGAGTACAATGCCTACTGAACGGGCTTCGTCGTCACTTGATGGGCGAAGAAAGTACCTTGAGATCAAACCCGGCGCACTGAAGTGGCTTAGTAGTACTAGGACCCTGAATTTGCGTGTCCGGTGCGCAGCAGACATCAAATTGTCCATTGTGCACACCAGACACGCTTGTTGACCCGCTTGCACCAGTTTAAGTGATTGAGTAGGCTTCAGAATCTGCTATGTTGTGGCGGTAAACTACTTACAGTGCCACTGGGCAATGCGTTTCATACGAGTGACGAATAAATTGTTTGGGGATTGTTATGCGTCGGAGTAAGGAGCAAACAGAGGTTTACGTGTAGAAGGCAAAGAATTGTACAAAAGTTGGTGGTGAATACGTCGATTGCTATGATTCTAATAATTGTTCAGACCACAATGTGTCAGATGGTAGGTTACATGTATGGTTCGGAACGTCGTAATGGGTCCTACATAATTTTTCGACACATTTCACAGGACTTCATTTATTTAAGGAGTTCTTAGAATTTGAACGACCCAGAGGAGCGATAGCTAACAGTACGAAGTAATGCTAGGCACACATGGGCTGAACTTTATCGCATCCGTCGAACATCACTCAAATTATGAAATGAATTATTAAATTACATTCAATTCTTGTCTGTGGTTGGATGGATTTCATTCACGAAGAGGCCCGCAAAGACAGCACTGACATACTCGTCTCAACAAAACCACAATACTCTTTTCGAATTTTCAAAAGCATTATTTCTGTTGAACTGTGCGAGCAAGCTTCACGCTTACAGTGGTTGAGAAATCGCATTTTGGAACGCTTCAGGATTCAGGTCATTCACGCCTAGGATGATCGTTCATCCACTTGCTCTTAACGTTCGGGACACAGGTTGAATCAGTTTATTGTCCTCTGGCTTGAATCACACAATCGGGATCATCATGANCATGACTAGAATTGATGGGCGCTTAGTATTCAGCTATAAGCACAGAATAATGAGTGGTGTATTTGTTTGCATTAGTACAATGCCTCCGGCTTGAGAGCAATACAACGGCGAGTAATCTTGTTTTCAGTTTATCGTAATCGTACCAGTGCAGCATATTGAAATTAACAGCACAAGGGGGAGGTGAATGACATATTACAATCCCAATAGTTCACATCTGGCTCCGAACACGTGTGCGATTGTGAGATCTTGTGACGTTTCTTAATCTCGAACGTCAACAAATGCCATTG